TCTGGTCCTCTTTAGGTCTCTCTGGTCCTCTTTAGGTCTCTCTGGTCTTTTTTAGGTCTCTCTGGGCTGCAGGTTTCAGAGGTTTCCTGATCCGGATCAAACTGGTCTCTAAAGGTGGTTCAGTTCTGAACTGGACTGATGCTGTGATGGGAATTAGGAAACCTCTAAAACCTGCAGGACTGAGGCCCAGAGAGACCTAAAGAAGACCAGAGAGACCTAAAGAGACCCAGAGAGACCTAAAGAGGACCAGGGAGACCTAAAGAGGACCAGGGAGACCTAAAGAGAACTAAAGAGGACTAGAGAGACCTAAAGAGGACTAGAGAGACCCAAAGAGATCTAAAGAGGACTACAGAGACCTAAAGAGGACTAGAGAGACCTAAAGAGACCTAAAGAGGACTAGAGAGACCCAAAGAGAACTAAAGAGGACTATAGAGACCCAAAGAGAACTAAAGAGGACCAGAGAGACCTAAAGAGGACCAGGGAGACCTAATGAGTACCAGGGAGACCTAATGAGTACCAGGGAGACCTAATGAGTACCAGGGAGACCTAATGAGGACCAGGGAGACCTAATGAGGACCAGAGAGACCTAAAGAGGACCAGAGAGACCTAAAGAGGACCAGAAAGACCTAAAAAGGACCAGAAAGACCTAAAGGGACCAGAGAGACCTAAAGAGGACTAGAGACGCCCATAGAGGACTAGAGACGCCCATAGAGGACCAGAGAGACCCAGCAGGCTGTTCACAGCGACACGCTTGTGGATAATACTCACATTGGACGAGGTTCCAAACACAGACAGGTTGAAAGAAGGCTTTTTGAGACCCGCCTGGGACGGCTGAGGTCCAGAGTTTGTTCGGTCCATCTCCGGGGACCAAAGCTGAGGGAGGGACGCCGTTTTGGAGGTGGGGACATCTAAAAAAAAGATAGCATATCAAAACTATTTCAGAATGTAATAAGAAGCTTTAATTTCTGTTTTCTTGGCCGTCCAAACACAATCATCCAGTTCAGTCAATCTCATTTTTAGCCATTTCTACTTTACTAACATTGCAAATAAATAAAGAAAATGCCTGAAGAAAAAAAAAATCTGAAACTGTGATAATAATAATAATGCTCAAGTAAACGTGTTGAGTGGAACATTTTCTAACATTTAATCTAACAAATAACACTTAAAGACACGTGAAAAGGTTAAAAGAAAA